ACAGTGAGCTCAAGTGCCACCCTTTGTATTTCCCTCTTCTTTTTCACTTTTCCATTTACAGCTGAGCTCATTGAATTCACATAAGTGACATGAACTTAGGATGTAACTTCACTTCTTTTCACCACATTATTTTTAATTGAGAAAATTCAGTGACTAATCAGTGCAAACAATTGTTTAAAGAACGACAAGTTCATAAGCAATATCAATTCTCACTTAGCTTTTTACTTAAATCAGACTTCATATTGGGAGGAGTCACAAGTTTTATTTTCTTCCTATCAATTATAGCTGCATGGCCCCAGGGAAGTCACCTTCTCTCTCTCTGGGTCTATTTTGCCTCAGTGGTAAAATTGTATTTTAATGCTTCAAGGTCAAGGGCTGAATCAATGTTTCCTTAAGACTCTTCCTGCTCTATAATTCTCAGAGTGAGACTACCTCAGAAAAAAGAAAAAAAAAAAAAGGAAAGAAAAAAAAAAAGAAAACAGGCTTTCCAAAAGGTAACAGCATTTTCCCTTCTCTTCCCTTTTAATTTATAATACGTAATCAAATAGTTAACTACTATAATTGAAAGGAAAGAATAGTTTGGCCACAATACACACAAATCATATAAATCATGTCCAGTTAATTTTAAAGAATAGGAGACTTTTCTTTTGCTCCAGTGGTATTATGAGATTTCTGAAGTGATTATATGACCCAGTGAAGCTAACTTTTGTGGGTTATTGGCAGTATCTTGAAAATTCCACAAATATATTCAAGAATAGACCCTTAAAGAACAAATATAGATCCCAACCAGATGGTGTGACTGCCTTCTATGGTTATTAAACATGTGGATACATTTGGATAAGAAAGAAGCTAGAAAGATACAGCTTCCAAATATGGAACACAAAGGAAATATCATCCATTCTTTGAGATGAGAGAAGCAAGGAAAGTTTTTATTGGACTGATAGAAGTTTCTGACTTGTAAAACTGAAACATGTTTAAAAACGACCAAGGAATAATTGTGTGGTCTAATAAAATTGCCTAGTAAAGGAAATAAATGTTTTTAATTCTCCAATCAAATATAACCTCTCTCAAGAAATGAATTTCAGCTTTTTAAAAATAAAATTATTTTGCATCCATAAGACTAGTGTGTGTTACTCATAGAATGATGAGTCCTTCATGTTTTAAAAATATATTTCACTTTAATATTCTATTTCAGATGTACAAGTATGGTTTGACAGAGCTGGGAAGCAAATATTGTCTTAAATAAATCCACTCTTCAGAAGCTTTTCCAGTACTAGTAGAATTTATGAGGTTTTGATATGTTGACCAGGGACTGAGGATAGGTTTGGCTTTAAGATTTGTTGGTATTGTTCTAGCTAATGTTTAACAAATCTTACAGAGGTTTTGGGCATAAAATATTTGTTTTTGACCCTGATGTTGAGAAGGTATTTTTAGTTTTATTATTTCATCCCAGTGTTGAATTGATTTATTACCTCTTCAAATTATTTCATTATCAAAATCTTCCAGACACATTGTCCTGCTTTGGTGCCTGTACCACGACTGTGAATGTGATTAGGAAGAAGGCAGATTGGGCTTTGGAAATTAAGAACTGGTTCTTCATGGGATTCTTTGTGATAAAACTTGGAAGTAATGAAACGGTCATAGGTTTCTGTTACCCACAATTAAAAATGTATGTAAAAGAGGCGCTAGGGAGAAGACTATATAGTACTTTTATTTCCTAATGGAGACACATTTTGGGATAGGGAGGAAAATATAAGATGAGAAAGGCAATACTATTCCATGACTTAAAACCCTGAAGAAAAAATAATAATCATTCATTCATTTGACATGCTCAGTCATTTCCTGAGTATCTAGTATATGCTCAGAACTGCGCTGTGCAAAGATATTACAGAAATAAACAAGACACAATTTTTGCTTTTTAGCATCCAAATGATGATACTCGGCAGTCAGCTAAACTTTTAGCAGCAAGAATTGGAAAGAGAAGAGAACATCTTTAACACAGTCTACATCAGAATCTGTTTTTCTAGCTATTGTCTGCATATTGATGAACAAAGATGAACATATGGAAAGTAGCGCTTTAGCTCTTTCTAGTCTTTTTTTTTTTCTGTTTACCTTTAAACTTAAAAATTAGTTGTTACATGAGAGACAAACATCGTTGAAATTTCTGGTCTGAAGTCAAAAAAGCCAAAAACTAACTATCTTGGGTTTCTACCTTTTTCTTTTTTATTTCTTGGGTTGATAGCAGAGGTTGGAGCTCTTTGGTCAAAAGCTACCTCAGTAGATGAAGCCCTGAAAGTGAGTAGCAGCTCAGACCAACCTCCCTGGGCTTTGTGTTCCTTACCACAAGCCTGTAGACAGTGAGTGAGAGAGTCTGGGAAGTGGTGCAGGGACAGGAAGGAGAAGGAAGCTGGGGGTTGGGGCTGCAATCGTAGTTAAAGTTAGCAGTTCTAGGAGACAGTACATTTCAGGGAATGATAAAACAACTTACTCTTAAACTCTGTGTTTATAAAGCATAACTTGCAACATCTATATAAGACATGAAAGCCTGGACCTCATTCTGGCTACTTGGTCCTTTTCCTTTTCTTTCTATACTTTCATTTACTTTTCTTTTTGCAACCTGTTTAAATGTGTTTGAGAACCCCCAAATTGGGGTATTCCTACACTAGACTTGTTTACCCTTTGGTTTAACATCTATAAATCCACAAGGCAGAATCTTTAGTTTGCTATTCTTGCACTGTTCACAGTCAACGATTTTTGTTTCAGAATAGTTGCCACTCTATTTTTCTATCAGCAGATGCCAAAATTAGACAACCACAAGAACATCATGCAGGAAAGACTCAGACCTTAATCTAATATTTTGGAAAAAGGCAGTCATCATTAGCAGTTTTTTTTTCATTTTGCAAAGAATTATGAGATTTTTGTGCTTCCTAGAATGAGTTTATTATTGACAACATTCCCAACATTTAACCTTGATGACAAGATAGAGAAAATGTATATGAAACTTGGTCTTCTTTAGTTTCTCTGCCATTTTATGTTGGTCTTCATGGGCAGGGCAGACGGTTACAACTACCAGGTAGAGGCAATTGGCTACCTGGACCCTTATAATAGGTAATGAAGGGGAAATAGACACCCTTTTTGTTGACAATAGATAATATTTTGAGGAGAAAGACAAATGATCAGAATCGCCAGTGCCTGATCTCCTCTTTTTATTATTACCCAATAAGTCCCACTTTCTATTTAAAAAATGTCACTGTACACTTCAAGAATCAGCATTTCAGAGATCATATGTGCTAGAATGGGAAAAGCTCAGGCCAGTGGTGCTAAATAGCCTCTCTGACCCGTGACTTCTGAGTTCTACTGTGCCTCAGTTCTCTTTCCCAGCGCAAGCCTTTTAAGTATCTCTTTCCTTCTGCTCCCAGTTTATATGTTTCTGAGTAATCTTGGAGCAATGCTTTTAATCATGGAAGAAGAGAAGCCAATGAGACTTTTAAGAAAATATATAACTAAAAGGAAAACAATTGGCCATAAATGGCAAGGTTATGGCATAGGGTTGAAGTGTAGGGAAGACCAATGTCATGGTGCATCAGAGTGATCTTTGTCTACTGATGCCCACCTTGGGTTCAGGACAAGATTCCTGTCCATATGGCTGCCCAAGGGCATCCCCAGGCAATGTATTGGTATAGCCAAGGCCAAGGTTGTTACCACACAGAGTAGAAAGCTTCTCCCTTATGTCTTGGTGCCAGCTTCTATGACAGATCCTTTAAGAATAGTTGGCATTGGCTGGCAGCACAGGCAGCTTAATTGTTACTGCAAAAGTAAAGTGGCTTCCTAGAGCAGAAAGTCCTCTTTAGGGAAGGTGGGAACTCTTGAGAAGTTAAAGAAAAAATTGCCTGTGGCCTGTCATTTGGCAATCTGCTGAGAGACTGTTTTATCTGAATTCCTAATTGAAGCCCAAATTAAACCCAGAGAAATGTTCACATGAAAAGTCCCACAAGAATGAGTTTTCAGATTCTATCAGCTCAAAAGAAATCTCCTGTGAAAATCCTTAACTCAAACATCTGACATGCCTTTCATCAGCTGGTCCCTGAGAGTCCTGAGGAAGAGGTTACACTGCCTTCAATGTACAGAAAGCAACTTCTCTGAGTTATTACATACTTTCCTTCTTAGTGATTCATGTAACAGAAATCAGAATCTACCCAATTTGATGAGTGTGTAGGTATGGGGGATGGTGGAAAATATGATTACTAAAGGTCCTATTCTGAAAAGCAAGAAGTGGGAACACTGGCAGAGAAGCCACTTTGTTGCTAAGATGATATGTTTGATTGGGGGAAAGTTGAATCTGAGCCATCAGAGGAAGTAGGAAATGGAACCGGGAGTCCAAGAGTAAGGTAAAGATTGAAGATTAAAATAATGTGAGTGATGAATATCAAGTAGACAGCTGAGACATGAAGGTAAATTACATCAGTGCTAGAAAATACAGGATAAGAAGAAAGGCTGAGATAGTCTTATGGTCACAGTCATGCATGGATACTGAGAAGTCCACTGCCTGCTGTGAGCTGCTCACTCACTGGCTCCCTCATTCTTTCCTTTCACAACATGGGGCATGGCAACCTCTTCTGAGCATGTGGATTCACCAGTAGAAACCTTCCGTAAAATGACTCATTAAACTGCTTGGTGTCTTCCCATCCATCACTGGTCAAAACATGTTCCCAGGCAACCCGAAATCCTCACTCAGTAATAACTTAGGAGAAGATAACCAGTAAAAGGGTGGTATCCCAATTTCCTCTTCCTCCAGCCATACAAAGGGGCCTGTGATTATTTATTATGCACAGATAGAGGAACAGAGAGTCTCTGGTATGACTCTGCAAAGCATCCATTTGCCCTATTATAGTACATTAAGTGCTTTTACTTCAAAATCCCTGGCCAGCCCCTCCACACCTCCTCGGTGGGCTCAGCTGTGGCAGCAGAGATTGGAAGGCAGGCTTCTGGGGAACACTCACCCTAGGGTCTCTCTCCAGCTGCTGCTTGTGGTGTAGGCTGCGTCTTCTCTTGGCCTTTGCAAGGCCATTGTGATAAAAGTGGTACAGACCTTCAGCAAAGGGAAGCTGTGGAGAGTCAAGCAGACACAAGCATAGTTAGCTTCTGGGGTTCGCCCAGGGAGAGGGGCACCAAAGCTGGGGCTGCTTGCAAGGGCTCCCTGGAGTAGGGAAGTATGCAAGAAAACCACTGCCAAACCTCTTGTCAGACCTGGTTCTCTATTTCCCTATCAATGTCCTCCTTCTCTTCTCCTTGCCTTTGTTCATGTGGTGTTCGCTCTCCTCCTGTTCCCCAAATACCTTCTATTCTTTCCCCCATTTTTTAACTTTCTGAGCATCCTTTGATTCCCTCTCCTTTTCAATGGAGCCTTGCCTTTACATTCACACCCGCATCAGATTCTCCTTGTTCTCCTTGGACTAGCGTGCATACTCCAGGTATCACCTGGTTGCTCCAGAATTACGCTGCGATGTTTTCTAGTCATGTCTTCATAGCTGTCTGTGACAGACTTTCAACTGTCTGTCTGTGTCTTGGGCTTTTTCTGTGACCCCTTGATGCCTCTTATCAGGCTGAGCACAGTGTGAACATCTAAATTTAGTAAATACCAGTTGGATGGCAGGTCTGGTTTCCCTCTATCTTCCCATCTCAAGGATCCTTGAAATCAGGTCAGAGCCAATCAGAGAAGTCACAGTAATGAGAGCTTATCTTTGGCACGGGGCCTGTAAGAGTTTTGGAGAACCTAAACAAGCCAGTCATTTGTTCTATGATTCAAGGTAACTTGGTGGGAAGAGCCTTGACCTGGGAGTTTGGAGACCTGTATGTGGCTCATGTCTGTTACCATCAGTATGCTTATGAGCAAGTGGTTTCCTCTCTGGGCATCTTTTTCTCTTCTGTATAAATACAGGGCCTTGAAGTTCCCAAATCTCTTGCTTTTCTCCACCTGTCTTCACATTGATGAAGACATGCTGTTTGCAGTTCTTAACCTGATTAATTAATTTAATTGAATGCTTACAAATTATAGACAAATAATGTAAATATGTACATTTTTTTGGGAAATAGGACGCATGGTTTCATCAGATTCTCAAAAGAGTCCCTAAATCAGAAAGCATTCCACTACTCAAAGTATTTGCTATTGTAAGTTTTGGTGTGTGTGTTGCCATCCAGAGTTTGGAAGAAAAGGGAAGCAGATTTGATAGAAAGGTTTTCTAACATAGATGGGGCCAATTTGAGATTTTTAAATCACAAAGAACCTCAGTGTGGCTCAAATATTTCTTAAAGAATATTTATCATTATTATTTTATTTTTAATATAAAGGAAATATAGAGTAAATTTAGAAAACTGAAAAGTACAAATAACAAAGTAAAAATTCTGCATGTTTTCTTTTTTGGCAGTGTTGGAGTTAGGTTATCTTTTTTTTTTCCCTCTAGGCCTACCTACTTGCAAGAACAAATGATTATTTCCTTAATAGTAAAATGAGTGAGTTTTAGATCTTCTTCTTTGCTTACACACACACTCTCTCTCTCTCTCTCTCCATATTATTATGCAAAGTGGTTCTTCCCTTCCCTTGTCACTCAGATGCTATCAGACTTCCACTTATTAACTCCTTTTTTCAAATTTTTATTTTGAGTTTGGGGGTACATGTGAAGGTTTGTTATGTAGGTAAACATGTGTCATGGGGTTTATGGTACATATTACTTCAACACCCAGACTACTTTCTTCTTTTGAATGGCTGCATATTATTCCATTACATGGGATACACCATGACTTATTTAGCCTTTCCATTATTGATGCATATTAAGATGTTTCCATTTTTTTTACATTCAAAGATAATGCTGTGTGTTGGGGTGGGGGAACTTCAGGTATAATAGAGTAAGAACCTTCAAGAATCTACTGTTATAGACAAGCAAATAGAACTTTGAAAAAAATTGCCAAATCAACTTATTCAGAACACTGGAAATTAACAAGAGGCTTGCAGCAACCCGAAGTTTATTCAATAAAAAGGTTGAATCTCAGTGATAATGGCAAACTGTGTGCTATTTTAAATTGCTCTATGACCATCCTCTTCTCCATAGCTCTGCAGCATCTTTGAACACGAACATCCTCACAACCACAGCAACTGGGAAAACCAGTAGCCAAATAGACACTAGAGGGTGAGGACTGGGTTTAGAGTTATTCAAAAACCCCCGTCCATAAATAATAGCCTGGAAGCTATCTGGAAAAGTTCCATTTATAGGATTTGTTATTATTTGATCTGTCCCAGGGTTTGCTCAGTTGGAAAAGCCCTACTCCCCAGGGAATTTGTCAAAAATAATCAGTGGCAAATTTTTAAGGTTGCAATTTCCTGAAGTAGCAATATGAACTGGGGCAAATAAAAGGCTGGACAAAAACCTTTGTAAAAGAATCTAAGGAATAAGATGTCCATAGAAGGCTTTACAAAGCTGTAATATATTCCTGGACACTTAGAAAGCCACACACATAGGCAGAGCTGTACACACAACCAGGAAATATCGAAGAAGGCTCTAAGTGCTCATCTTTAGTTGACTTTAAGTCTCTTTAAAAACAGGAGGTGAAGGCCATAGCAGAGTTTCAAACTGCCTGCTTGAGCATTGAGGATATGTTCCAATATATACAACAGAGCCCCTCAGCAAATGGTAAAAACAAAAACATAGCTGCATTGATTCAAGGTCTTTAAGAAAACCTCTGTCCTGTCATTGGCTAACTATTAAGTTAACCAAGCAGATTCAATGGCACATTATAGAAATTACAGACTTTGCAGAATTAGTCCAGAAAGACATTAAATAAACAAATAGCAATAAATGTATGTGTGCATGTGTCTTTATAGTAGAATGATTTATAATCCTTTGGGTATACACCCAGTAATGCGATGGCTGGGTCTTTATAGTAGAATGATTTATAATCCTTTGGGTATATACCCAGTAATGGGATTGCTGGATCAAATGGTATTTCCGGTTCTAGATCCTTGAGGAATCGCCACACTGTCTTCCACAATGGTTGAACTAATTTACACTCCCACCAACGGTGTAAAAGCATTCCTATCTCTCCACATCCTCTTCAGCATCTGTTGTTTTCTGGCTTTTTAATGATCGCTATTCTCACTGGTGTGAGATGGTATCTCATTGTGGTTTTGATTTGCATTTCTCTAATGACCAATGATGGTGTGCTTTTATTCATATGTTTGTTGGCTGCATAAGTATCTTCCTTTGAGAAGTGTCTGCTCATATCCTTCGCCCACTCTTTGATGGGTTTTTTTTTTCTTGTAAGTTTATTTAAGTTCCACAATAGCAAAGACTTGGAACCAACTCAAATGCCCATCGGTGATAGACTGGATAAAGAAAATGTGGCATGTGTACGCCATGGAATACTATGCAGCCATAAAAAAGGATGAGTTCATGTCCTTTGCAAGGACATGGATCTTTTTTTTTTCCCCTCTAGGCCTACCTACTTGCAAGAACAAATGATTATTTCCTTAATAGTAAAATGAGTGAGTTTTAGATCTTCTTCTTTGCTTACACACACACACACATACACACACACACACACACACACACTCTACATATTATTATGCAAAGTGGTTCTTCCCTTGTCACTCAGATGCTATCAGACTTCCACTTATTAACTCCTTCATTAAACCATCATTCCCAGCCAACTAACACAGGAACAAAAAACCAAGCACTGCATGTTTTCACTCATAAGTGAGAGTTGAACAATGAGAACACATGGAAACAAGAAGGGGAACATCACACTCAGGGGGTGAGGGACTAGGGGAGGGATAGCATTAGGAGAAATAATGTAGATGATGGGTTGATGGGTGTGGCAAACCACCATGGCACATGTATATCTGTGTAACAAGTCTGCATGTTCTGCACATGTATCCCAGTACTTAAAGTATAATAATAATATAAAAAGCACAAGAAAAAAACTGGGGGTGGAGGTGGGGGAAAAATAGCGATAGTAAAAACAACAAAACCTAGAAACAACAACAACCTAGGGAGAGGTAAATCTGGTTTCCAAGTTGTCATATTATATTATTTAAAATGTCAAATTTTCAAGAAAAATTGTGAGACACAAAAAGAAATAAGAACATATGCTCCACACATAGTGGGAAAAATAATAAAAACTCTCTGAAGAAGCCCAGATGTTGGACTTACTAGACAAAGACTAAACTAGATAAGTATAAATATTCAGATTATATTTATATATCGATATAACTATACCCAGACATATGTTCAAAGAAACCATATCTAAAGAACTAAAGGAAAGCATGAGAATGGTGAATCACCAAATAAAGAATATCAATAAAGAGATAAAAAGAATAAGAAGAAAGAACCAAACAGAAATTCTGGAGCTAAAAAGTACAATAACAGAATTTAAAAATTTACCAGAGAGCCTGAATAGCAGTAAAGAGATTGAATTAGTAATTTAAAAACTTTCTGCAAAATAAATCCTGATGAATTCTACTAATCCTGATTAATTCTACTAATGTTTAAATAAATAATTCCAGTCCTTCAGAAACTCTTCCAAAAAATGGAAGAAGAAGAATCACTTCCCAACTCATTCATTGTGGCCTATATCACCCTGACATGAAGAAAAGACAGAGATACCACAAGAAAAGAAAACTACAGACTGTGATCTCTTACAAATATAGCAACAAAATGCTCATCAAAATAGTAGCAAACTGAATCCAATCACACATAAAAAGGATTATGCATCATAACCAAGTAGGATTTACCCCAGGAATGCAAAGTTGTTTTCACATCTAAAAATCAATTACTATAATAACTATATCAATAGAATAAATAACAAAAACCACATGGACATCCCAATGCAGAAAAGCGTGTGACAAAATACAACATTCTTTTATAATAAATATGTTTCTTAAAATTAGGAATGAAAGGGAACTTTCTCAATCTGATAAATCTATCTGTGAAAAACCTACAGCTAACATCATACTTAATGGTGAAAGGCTGAATGCTTTTCCTAAGATCAGAACAAGACAGTTATCTGCTCTTGCCACTTCTATTCAAGAGTGTACTGGAGAGTTTAGCTAATG